GCAGGCGGAGGCTCTCTCTGGAGTAAACGGAGACCAGCCCCTTTCTGCTCAGCTCAGTGGCAACCCTGTTTTATGAAATAATTACGATTCAGCACCAGAGACAAGGGGTCTCTTTCAGATTGCATAATCGACAAAAATTGAGAGGAAGAAATGCCTTTGAAATCATGGAACCTAACCCCCTAAAAACAAGGTGTTATTGACAGACCTGAGGTGGAAATAGAGGTCTGAAATCTTGGAGGCTTTCAGTTGCTTAAGATCAGTCTCAGCCACTTCTGACTTTCAGCAAAAACATGCCTGTGGAATGAATGCTCTTACCCTCAGGGCAGAGCCTGGACTAGAGCCCGTCTGTGCCTCCAGGCTCACAGCCTTCACACTGGGCCTCTGCCTCCTGGGGCTGGGCTGTCAGGGCTGCTTTATCTCCTCTAGGCGCCGGCAGAAGCTGGCGGGCGCTCTGTCAGACAGTGAGTCCAGATGGCAGCCACCTGAATCCCACAGGGCTGGGGGCAGGGGAGTGTGTGCTCTGATTTACGGCGTTTCCAGGGTCTAGGGAATGGCTCCTTCTTGCCACACCCTCCAAGAAAACAAAATGAAGCAGGCTCCCCACCCACAAGGGGGCCCAGAGGACTGCTGAAGGTCAGATGGCCCCAGCCACTACTGGGTGTGAGCCTCCATTTCCCACCTGCGCCTCAGTTTCCCCATATACACAATGTCCTGATTGGATGTTCCCTCAAGGCCCCTTCTGGCTCTTAAAAATCCAGAACTCTAAGGTCAGGGGCTGTGTCTTCCTCCTCTCCTTCATGTCCCCAGCAACTCACACACAGTAGGTCCTTAACAAGCTCACTGGACGAATGAGCTGGGTCCTCGGTCAGTCCCAGGATCACGGAGGTCAGGAAGACTTGCCTCGTGCCTACCGCCTGATCCTCACAGAATCCACAGGTCTCACTCAGCACAGCCCTGGCAATCCCGCAGCCCACTGCAAACCTGCTTCCTCCCTGGGAAGCAGAGATGTGGCTGCAGGAGCCGAGCAGGAAAAGGTGCCAGGGAAGAGAGGTGCCAGGGAAGAGAGGGAGGCCTGGACACCAGACAGCTCGCCCGGCCCAACGAGCACTTTGCTAACTCACCTGGCTCCTCTCCTTCCTGCTCTTCTGACTTCCCTCATCCGTGGCCCTCGCTCCCCCTTGTAGCTGCTCCCGGCCCCTCCCCGTCCCTGCCACCTCTGGGAGGCTCCGAGCCTTCTGCTGGCCCAAGACCGCCTGGCCCTCCGTGAGGCCGGAAGACAGAAGGGCCTGAGCAGACTCCTAGGCTGGTCCAGGAGCCTTGGGCTTGCTCAGGGGCAGGGCATGGAGAAAGCAGCCGTTAAGACTTACATTCTGACCCAGGAGAGGGGCTCCCCTTAGAGAAGATCTCTCCACCTGCCTCTCAGGGTTCCTGGGAATGTGTCCCTCCGGCCTCTTGGCTCTCCCCTACATGTGCAGGCACAGAGCCTGTCAAGGCAAGAAATGCCCTCTCTCCCAGTTGAGATCTAGTCCAGATGGCAGCCACCTGAATCCCACAGGGCTGGGGGCAGGGGAGTGTGTGCTCTGATTCAGGGCATTTCCAGGGTCTAGGGAAAGGCTCCTTCTTGCCACACCCTCCAAGAAAACAAAATGAAGCAGGCTCCCCACCCACAAGGGGGCCCAGAGGACTGCTGAAGGTCAGATGGCCCCAGCCACTACTGGGTGTGAGCCTCCATTTCCCACCTGCGCCTCAGTTTCCCCATATACACAATGTCCTGATTGGATGTTCCCTCAAGGCCCCTTCTGGCTCTTAAAAATCCAGAACTCTAAGGTCAGGGGCTGTGTCTTCCTCCTCTCCTTCATGTCCCCAGCAACTCACACACAGTAGGTCCTTAACAAGCTCACTGGACGAATGAGCTGGGTCCTCGGTCAGTCCCAGGATCACGGAGGTCAGGAAGACTTGCCTCGTGCCTACCGCCTGATCCTCACAGAATCCACAGGTCTCACTCAGCACAGCCCTGGCAATCCCGCAGCCCACTGCAAACCTGCTTCCTCCCTGGGAAGCAGAGATGTGGCTGCAGGAGCCGAGCAGGAAAAGGTGCCAGGGAAGAGAGGTGCCAGGGAAGAGAGGGAGGCCTGGACACCAGACAGCTCGCCCGGCCCAACGAGCACTTTGCTAACTCACCTGGCTCCTCTCCTTCCTGCTCTTCTGACTTCCCTCATCCGTGGCCCTCGCTCCCCCTTGTAGCTGCTCCCGGCCCCTCCCCGTCCCTGCCACCTCTGGGAGGCTCCGAGCCTTCTGCTGGCCCAAGACTGCCTGGCCCTCCGTGAGGCCGGAAGACAGAAGGGCCTGAGCAGACTCCTAGGCTGGTCCAGGAGCCTCGGGCTTGCTCAGGGGCAGGGCATGGAGAAAGCAGCCATGAAAACTTACGTTCTGACCCAGGAGAGGGGCTCCCCTTAGAGAAGATCTCTCCACCTGCCTCTCAGGGTTCCTGGGAATGTGTCCCTCCGGCCTCTTGGCTCTCCCCTACATGTGCAGGCACAGAGCCTGTCAAGGCAAGAAATGCCCTCTCTCCCAGTTGAGATCTACCGAGAAGCACGGCGCGCGCGCACAGAGCCTGTCAAGGCAAGAAATGCCCTCTCTCCCAGCTGAGATCTACCGAGAACCACCGCGCGCATGTGTGTGTGTGTGTGTGTGTGTGGGGGGGGTTATAGTTTTGTGTGTGTGGTGTGTGTGTGCATGTACACTATGATGGCAGGGCGTATGGGTGGGTGGTGTTGTAGAGGTATGTGTATGTTGTGTTTGGTGTGCATGTGATGTGATATACGTGCAACAGCGGTGGTGTGTGTGCAGGACGGCATGTATGCATATGTTTGTGATGTGTACTGTGGGGGGGGGTGAGGGGAGTGGGTATAGGGGCCATGTCAGTTTGGGTGGGAGCTAGCTAGGCAGGGTCCCCTGCCAGAGAAGCCACAGATACCCAGTATCCAGGCAGCCATGTTGGGGGGCGGGGAGGAGACAGGAGGTGAGGAATGGGCAGGAAAAGGAAGGAGGCTGCGAATTAGAGGCGTCTCCATGGTAACTACCAGGCAGGTCACATGCCAAAGGCTAAGTTGCTGGAAACATATACACATCCACAATATGAGAGCACGAGGCCCCGGCGTGGGGGTATCTTCAACCATCTCCAAACCTGGGCATCCGGCCAGAGAGCACCCGCCAAGGAGACCAGGGGAGAGGGGACAGAGGCCACCGGGTGGGGCGAGGCCGCAGCAGCCTTGGCCCCACGGCTGGGGGCGGGCAGCGGGTCTGGGCAGGCCGTTTCTCAGCACAGCCTCGCTCTGCTCCCACCTGGGAGCTTTCTCCTCCAGCCACCACTTGTAAGAGCCAGAAGCCGGCGCCAGGAGCGCCTCCAACTCGCACGGAAGCTCCGGGAGACACAATGGGGAGGTTCTGCCGGTCGCCCCGCCCGGGAAGGGGCTGGGTAGGAGGAAAGGAGGGAAGGGAAAGGATGGGGGGGCGGGGAGCAGGGCTCCCTAAAAGACATCGGGACTGGATAAACAAGGAGGAAAACACTGATGCTGCGTCCTCATGATCCCGCGCCCTGGAGCCCCAGCCCTTCTCTGCCTCCCCCCACCGCCCTGCCGCTCCCCTAACCAGCAAGTTCCATTTTGTGTCGCTCCTGTGTGCACACGCACACCCAGCCGCCCGCCCAGGCTCTATCCGGGGGCCACGCTTGCAGGTAGCAAAGGGGAGGCGCCCGCCGGATAAGGATGGTGCAGCCCTTTCCCCTTCTCCCCCAAACCAGAGCCCGCGCTCCAAGCGAGCGCGTGCACAGCCACGGCCTCGCCAGTCCTCTGCCCAGGGGCCCCTCTCCCCTCCGACGCCCACCTCCTCCTTCGCAGCCGCCGCC